TGTGTGTGTGTGTCTGTGTGTATGCCTGTGTGTGTGCCTGTGTGTGTGTTCCTGTCTAGCTATCTTCATGAGGACCAACAGTCACACACACCGGTCCTCACAAGTTTGAAGCCTTTTTGAGACTCAAAATGTGGTTTTAGTGTCAGGGTTATGTCAATGAAGGTCCTCACTAAGATAGACACACACACATACAAGCCCGTTCAGCTGTGTGTGTGTGTGTGTGTCAGTGTCCAGGTGAGCACAGACTCACGTTCCACAGCAGAGCTCCACAGACGTCTGTCTGTCCGACTGTTTGTCCAGCAGCTCGGTGACCGGCAGCTCCACTGACACGACCCGAACAGGATCAGGATACACCTGCAGAAACAGGTGGCACGTGAGACAGCAGGTGAGACAGCAGGTGAGACAGCAGGTGACCCAAAATGCGAAGTCTGAGCTCACCTCGTCCACTGTCCTCAGGCCGCTGATGCCGCGAGCTCTTTGGAGGGGAAGCTCCTGACTGTGAACAATCTGATTGGCTGAGATGATGTCATTAACGCACCTTTCCACTTGCTGCAGCTGTGACACGCTCAGAGAGCCCTGAGGACAACACACAGACGCATCAGAACCTGCGCGGCCTGCACCATGCCGCCATTGTCGGGCTCACGAATGGCGGCCTGACCTTTACGCTGAAATCGAAGCGAAAGCGATCGGCCGACACGTGCGAGCCTCGCTGCTGCACCGAAGCACCCAGAACCTTCCTCAGGGCGAAGTTCAGGATGTGCGTGGCCGTGTGCTTAACCATGCAGGACAGCCTGTGCACCTGGAACCCCAACAGGAAACAGGAAGTCAGCAGAGGAAACAAGAAACACTCTTACAAGGTGAGAAGAAAGGCAGCAGCAAAGAAACTGAACACGGCTACACGACACAGCGCCGACGGTAAAGAGTGAGATCAGCACAGGTGGAGGTGACAGAGTCGCCACCAGACCCAAGGGAATTCTGGAGGAGGCGGTGCCTCGAGTCAGCGTCGCAGGGAATCAATCTGTTTCACTCGTCCAGGATTTGAGGTTGATGGAGGAATTCGAGAATTCTCACCGCTTATGTTCTTCGTGGTCACAGAATTGTGGTCTGATTAACCTGAAGGTTAGATGTGATGAGCGGAGACATGATCCCAGCCCGACTTTGGAGCCATCACCGTTTGTCCAAAGCATCGGGTCCACATGTGAATAAATGTGCGTGTTTAATGTGCTCAAATATGTTTCTCTTCCTCCTAAAGTAAAAGACGTAAAGAGAGATCGACCCACCAAGAGTCGCCGCAGTGATGTGACTGATATCAAACTGTGGACGCTGACACAGAGGTCACAGATGCTTTAAAGCCAACACGTGGCGGCTCAACAAATTTAATGAAGCGAGCCCGAGATTCTCCGTTCAGATGACCGTAGCGTCTCCATCGCTGTTGAGTAGTCGAGGTTTTTTGCTGCCGAACTTTTCGTGCTGCTGGTTTTTGCATTGTTGTTTCACCTTCAGACCGAATTAACTGAGCTTCAGAGCGACAGCGGCCTGAGAGCAATCGAAGCTGCAATCGAGCACTTTGATGCCACAGCTCCGACTTCATGCTGCTCGTGTTCGGTCCGTATGTGGGAGCGCTGGGCTGTGCACACACCGTTACTCTGGCCCTTAGTGAACTGCCCCTTTAAATGTCAACTGAACCCAGCTGTTTACCTGATCCAGGTGCAGCTGGAGCTGGTCGCCGGTCTTCAGGTTGTCGGCCACGGTGACCCAATGGACCACGTAGCCCCCCGCCCGGACCACCGCCTCCACAGGAAAGAGCACGTCCTGAGAGACAGGAAAGAGGTGGAGTCATAGGGACACAAAAATGTTTCTCACGATGCACTGAGGGAGGCGCCTGCTGACCTGCAGCTCATACAGGGTGAAGTAGCCCTGGTCATGTGACTGGCCCCCCTGCTCGGCGTAGAAGCAGGTACGGTCCAGTATGACGCTGCAGTGCTGACCCTCGGAGACCTCCGACACCAAAGCCTGCCCGTCGTAGAGTGCGAGAACTGTCGCACGGCACGGTGGGAACACTGGGAGGAAGGATGTGGACATCATTAGCTGACCACCGAGGCTCAGGTGTGTTACCTGTGCAGGTGGAACATACCGTATCGACCCTCGGCCAGGCGGTAGTCATATTTGAGACTGTCGTCGGTGTGAGGAACGCCAAGACGCTGCAGCTCCGTCAGACTGAGGACGTCCAGCGTCACCTGGGCACGGTCACCTGCCTGCAGCTCTAAAGCCACCTGAGACACACAGACAGGTGTGTGGATCTCATTCCAGTAGGCAATGAAAACCTTTGTCTTTTCAGAATAAAAGCAGCCTTCTCTGTCCTTCACAGTAAAAGCCCTCACTGTTTCCAGATTAAGACGAGTGAATTAAGCCCCACCTTCTGGTTCTCGGCAATCAGGCGGTCCAGCTCCTGGCGGTCTACATGGACCCCCCTTTCCTCCAGGATCAGGTCCACCAGGTCCAGAGGGAAGCCCAGGTCCCGGTGGAGAGACCAAGCCACTGAGGCTGCCGGAAGAAAGGAAATAATTAACCAGGTATGAACACCTGAGCCCAACAGGTGGGCTCGGCTCAGGCCATTGTCAACCTCAGACTGTTAATTAAAGGCTTCATTAACATCCTGATTAAGTCAGGTGTGTTCACGTGGTCAGAGTCTGGACCTGGACTGACCGGGGAAGACTCCATGTTTGTAGTCCTTCCTGCTAAGCGTGCGCTCGATCAGCCTGCTGCCCTGCTGCAGAGACGACAGGAAGTGAGCCTCGTTCTCGTTGATGATGTCCACAATCTGGAAGACAAACACCATCTGATGACAATTTCCTGCTATATCACGTGACCCAACTTTCATGATCTGACTCTGAAAGTCAGGAGCGATGAGATCAGAGGTCATAATACAAACTCACCCGGTCTGTCTCCTGGTGCAGCTCTGGATAAATGTTACCCTGGCAACAGAAACCAGGTAATCGATAAAACAGCCTTCAATTTACTGTAAAATGCAAAATAATGTCAGTTCAGAGGCATTATGGGATGGCGTTTTACCAGCAGGTCGGCGACGGTGGGAACTAGGCTGGCGAGCGTTCCCTGGGGAGCACGAAGGACCTCGACACAGAACCGAACCGCCCGCCGTAAAATCCTCCTCAGCACCAACCTGACACCCACACACAGGTAAACATAAGATGCCTGCTTCTGGCGTCACGCTGACAGCTGATTGGTAGGTGACTCACTCGGCTCCTGACATGCCCGGGTAAACTCCGTCAGCGATGCACACCGATAATGTCCGGACGTGGTCAGCTACGACTCTGTAGGCCAGATCCACCTGACCAACATCCACCGCCCCCATCCTGCCCCTATACGGCTCCACCCCCGACCTCTGAGGACATGGCACACGTGTCACCATGACAACCTGTGCAGGACACCTGTGTGTGCTCTTGTGTGTGCCGGCATACCTGGTGGATGGCGTGCAGCAGCGGTGTGAACAGATCCGTGTCATAGTTGGAGGTTTTGCCCTGCAGGACGCTCACCAGTCTCTCCAGACCCATCCCAGTATCCACGCTGACCTGGGGCAGCAGCCACAGACTGTGGTCCACCTCCCTGAGACGGGATGGGACCAAGATTCAAGACAAAGGAAGTGCTCTACACATGGACTCATAAGTAACTACGCATGGACTCTAAAGTAACTACGCATGGACTCTAAAGTAACTACGCATGGACTCTAAAGTAACTACGCATGGACTCTAAAGTAACTACGCATGGACTAAAGTAACTACGCATGGACTAAAGTAACTAC